CCAATCGGTAACTTTTCTGTAATCAGCCTTTGCCTCTAAATATGTGTATAAGTTTCACAGCGATTTTTTTGCCCTCAGAGTTTCGAACCGGAGGGCTTCTTCAGTAACATTTTTTTGAAAGTACTGACATAGGAGATGCGAAACACAATTGTTGAGTGACGCAGAAAAGCGGGCGATATTTCCAATGGAGTGAAAGTTTCTTTTTAGCATTGCGATGAAACTTTCCGTCAGATAAGTTGGGTGCATATGGCGACTATACAAGGAGGGAAAGTCGATGGACAGGTACTGCATGGTGCTTTCCTTGTTGAGGAAAACATCAGCTATCAGTTAATGATATCATCAGCTGTGGCGCACATAAATTCAACAGGCAATTAGTGTTTTGTTACTGGAGATATGCAGCTTGAGATCGAAGGGCTTGTTTTAACTGCGTCATGCGCGCGGAAACTTCTTAGTAGTGTTATTATCATGAAATCTGGAAAACATCCAGCCAACTTTGATGGCACTGTACTGGTTTATTGAAGATTAGATGCAAACAACGAAGCAGTTTTCATTACCTGTGATTGCCTTTGTGCATCCAGCGATCTCAGGTCAACTTTTTCTTCGTTTTTATCCACGTAATATAAACTAAAGAAATTGGATATAGTTTCTGTATATGATAAACGCTCCATTCTTTTCAATATTTCTAACATATTGTAGCTATTTTGCTGAACCGAACTTCATAGTGGCTTTTGCTAAAAATTGTGAAATAGTCCATTTATATTTAAGCAACCCGTGCAGCCTCTGAGGAGATGAGGCAAACGCATCGGAGAAGTGATCGATACTTATTGGTGGTTTACATTTCAGGATCGAAAGACCCAACATTGATTGCACCCCTGTGCGAGTGCATCCACTAGCGTCACCAGTTTCGGATCTCACATTCACTGTCTCGATAATCTTGGCAATCTTGAGAATGTATGCAAACCACGATACTTGTCATCTTTCAGATGAATAATTTCAATTTAAATTTAAACAAGACATAGAGGGATTCATGTGGAATTATTGTTAACGAGTTAGGCTCAGGATAGAGAAAAATGGAGCAGATGCCAACGGCATTAGTGGCGAGAAGAAATGCACCGATGAAGCAGAAGCTGATCAAGATAAAATTTATAAATTTTCATTGAATTAATTGGGCCGATTAAATATTCGATTTATCAGAACAGAAGGGCCACGTCTGACTCTAAGGATATGGCGATAAGAAAACCGATAACACCGAATCTCTTTAACAACTGTGTTGGTAATCGTTAACTAACGTGTCAGCTAAAGCAGTTGAGGTTGTGTCAACGATGCTGGAATTCAGCTCTCGAGTCGAAGCACGTGGTATGTTATATGGCCAGACAATAAACGAAAAATTATTCGCAATGACCACTTCCGATCCATTCATTGCAACGTATTTTGGCTCCAAATTTGTATATTTCGAATCAACCGGTGTTCCGATGCCGTTGCAAATTTGCATAATATACTGTAATGTTTATGTAATTTATCGGACATCTGGAATAACATACGGGAAAATATTTTTCAGTTACTCCCC